AAAAAGCACCTGGCTCCTGCCATCGGATCAGCGCGGTGCGCCGGCCGCAGCGCGCCGGCCGCGGTGGCCATTGGAGGGTGAACCAACGGCAAAGGAAGACCTTTCTCTCTGTCTCTCTCTCTCACTGTCCACTCTGCCTGTCAAAAAAATAAATAAAAATAAAAAAAAAAATAATAAAAAAAAAAAAAAAACAAGAGCCAGGAGCTTCTTCTGGGTCTCCCACAACAGGTAGGGGCCCAAGCACTTGGGCCATCTTCTACTACTTTCCCAGGCCATAGCAGAGAGCTGGATCAGAAGAAGAACAGCCAGGATATGAACTGGTGCCCATATGGGATGCAGCGCTGCAGGCAGAGCCTTAGCCTAATACGCCACAGCACTGGCCCTGTGACTTTGCTTCTTTAAGACTTGGTTTTCTTATCTGCCAAATGGCACAGTAGGAGTAAATATTTTTTAAGTTCCCACCCAGCTCTAATATACTAAAAATCTATGATGATCTGGATTTTCATGTTCACAGACAATGTCTGGTCCTACCCACGCTTATCGATGGCCACCAGATGAAAATCACTGAGATCCAACCTAAACACCTGCCCAGTGGTCTTCCATGTACATCACTATTTTCATTGGAGCCTCATCAGACCTCTACGATGGGGATAGTCTGTGTCACAGTCACCCTTTCAAGATGAGAAAGTTTGTCAACAGCCATAGAGCTGATCAGCAGCGGAACTGAGGCCCCAACGTGGTCTCCTGACCCGGAGGCCAGTGCTCCATTCAGCAAATCCACTTCTCTCCCTCTGTGTGTCTACACAGCTGTGGACACCTCCAGCCAAAGATGGAGCTTCCCCCCTGCAACAGGAGACCAGCTGGATAGGATAAAAAGAATGGGAAAGACAGGAAGGCCTGTTCTGCCTCCATTTTGGCTAACAGAGGGTTGGCCGGATTCCAATCATAGCCAGCCATCTGACACTGTCTAAATTAAGCTCCATTCTCCCCATTCCCTGCCTCCTTCTTAGTCTCAGGGATCTAATGGGTACAGGGGATCTAATGGCCCTGTTCTGGGGATACTTACACCTGTCTGTTCAGGTCAGACATGCAGCAGCGAAAAATTCACAAAGGAGCCTGACATCACCTCATACTCCGACTCCACCCCCAGAAAGCAGCAAAGGAATAGCAAAGGCATAAGCCATTGTGTGGATTTAAATCAGGGGCCTCCTCCAGCTTCCCAGTCCCATGTCACAATGTGCCAGAATCAGGGAGAAGAGGGCATTTTCTCCAGGGACCCCATGAGCCTGGGGTCTGCTAAAGGCAATAGGAGATGTGCTGGGGGAGGGAAGGAGGGATCTGTGTCTTGTCAGAGCTAGAAATTGCCCAGAACATCAGCTCACACCACCCATCCTTCATCCGCAGGTCCCTCAGTCTCTGCTGTGGCTCAAACTGGAAAAGACGCAGCCTTCTCAAAACATTTACATTTCTGCCAGGCAAAGATTCATGTGACTTTGAATCCCAAAGTACACAGGTTTTCGTGGGAAGATTAAAAGAGGATTCTGATCATTTCATGACAAATTAACCAGTCCTGCCAAATGTCATTTAAAGGGAGAGAAAAAAGAAGAAGAAAAATTCTTATTTTGTCCACTTGAATTTTTTTTAGGACTCCTACATGTATCAGTTTTATAACTTCACCAGCAACTTTTGATTGGAGCTTAATTAAAAGAAAATAGAGAGTAAGGTCAGCCAGTTTTTGCAGAGAGAGCAAAAAGAGGTCACCAAGGGCTAGAAACAGACCTGCACAATTTGACAAGGGCCCAAGATTCATGAAAGGGTGTTATGAGGCCAAACCTACTCAGAGACCTCTGAAGATACAGGGGGACAATGTCTTCTCACATGAGTTGAAATGTTCTCCTAGTCCAGTGCTTAAAACACATACACCCTGATACCCTGCCCCCAGCAGGATTAGTTAATCTGTACTTCACATGCCAAAGGGGCAGTCCTCAATGTTTCTACCCATTAAATACCTTTCAAAAGCCTGGATTCATGAAATACAGCTTCACCTATTCACAACTCAACCCAAGTTGTTAGATTTGAAAGTCAGAATAAAGCATGTACATTCTGTGTAGCATGTCCATACTACTGAATACAATGCTTTTATGCTATTGGCCCTGACCTTGAAATATTATCAGAATCTTTTTTTTTTACCTGAGGCAAGATCTGAGAAATTTTATTTGGGTTTTGATAACAGATGCTATAAGGATAGCAGCCTACAATAAAGCAGGTCTCCTCTGACTGATGGAGACTATGAGGCAGAGAGACAAGCAAGTGCAGAAGGTGGGAGGGGGAGATGTCCACAACCAACCCCACAACGTGAAGCCCATGTTCCCCACCTACAGCTGAGTCAGTTGTCAGTGAAGATGGTAGGTGGTGAAATGTAAACAGAGTCACAAGACTGAGAATATAATACCTGTCCTTCTCAAGACCTACCGAGAGTTGGCTTTCCTTTCATATGCTAGTGTAAGTTAATATCTTAGTGGTCCCTATGAAAGAGAAGGGTGGTCTCAGGGGTCAAAGACACAGGAATGGCACCATTGTCCTGGCAATTTGAGATTGTCCACAGGGCTATCTTGCTGAATATTGTCAATGACGAAATAAAGGATAACTGCTTATTCTTTAATAGTGGATATGATTTGATTGCCAAGAGAAGGCAGTATAGAGCTGAAGACCATGGCTTCTTTCCAATCAGCACAGGAGTTTTGACCTGCTTCATTTCCAGCCTGGCCAGTTCACCCCTCCATAGCCAACCTGTGGTCACCCACTCTGGGAAAGTCATCATATTGATGCCAAACTTAGTGCAGATACCAGATCGGCATAACGCAGTACAGCCCAGAATTTCTGAGCACAAGTGATCCTCCTGCCTCAGTCTTCCAAGTGGCTGGGACTACAGGTACTAACCACTGCATCTGACCATTGGTTTTCCTGAGTAGTGATTAGGGTCACTGGAATGACCCTAATCAAGGGACCGTTTCAGTATGAAGGTGGCAATATCACCATTATGGTGTGAATATTTGCCCCTCCAAAACTCATACGGAAGTTTTTTGTGTGGCATTTGTTTTTATTAGAAAACCCATTTGGTAAGCACTTGCCTAACCCAGAACAGGGACTGCGTAGCCTCCCAGAGCCCCACAGCTTCCATTTCCTCCTCCACCGGGTGGTATCAAACAGCCTCTGAGGTGCCCCTCCTGGACCCCTGAGACAGTTTCCATTGCCAGCAATATACCAACAGCTTCTGGGGAGGGTCCCAGAGGGCCCCCTAGGTTGCAGGCTTTAGCCAAAGGCATTCTTCTTTGTATGGCTTCACAACAGAAACAAGGATGCCCTCCTTCAAGGCCCGGCCCTTCACTCTGGTTGAGAGCAGGGCAGGATACAGGAGAAGGTGGCTAAGGGCTAAGGGAGAAGAGATTGCATTTGAGATACCCTTTGGTGTCTAGAAGCATCTTGATTTCTTAGAAAATGGCCATGGAGGTTGTGGTGGTGTCATATTTCCTCTTGCTGGACTGGACTACTGCAGTAGCAGGGGGATGCTGATGAAGAGAAGAGTCATGACCCCGAAAGCTGCCTGGTCCAGAAAGGGGGCAGGGGAGACTCTCCTAACAAACTTCCACTGAGCCAGCATTCCTTCCTGTCCAGGTGCACTGGTAGAACCAATCACAATAGGTTCCTCCTCCTGGGCCAGGTCATCACTGAGCTGAAGTTGAAATAACCAGCCTTGAGAGGGCACAGGACCATGGTATGGCAGACATTGCTAGCAGGGGCAGTTGGGTCCCATTCGACACTGAGCATTCTATAGGCAATGCCAAAGTCTTCTGGAGGGAAGGAATCATCCAGTAATTCCATATGTAATGCAGCACTTGAGCCAACATTGTAGATGTACTGTAAGGTCAGGTCTCACACCCCACCACTTATCTGTTCAGCAGCAATTTGGAGACCCAGAGCCTGGCTCCCTACTCTGTTTGAGTGACAGCAAATAGAGACAACACCACAAATGCCAGCAGCCTCATCATGCCTACCCCAAATGCCTCCCCCAGCCACACTGAAATGTAATTGACATTGTAACAGCATGAAGAGATGGGCCATGAGAGCTCCGCCTTCAAGAACGGTATTCATGCCATTAGAAAAGGCCAAGTTTGGATTCCTTTTCTCCCTTTTCCCTTTGGCCATCCATGGTGTGAAAACAGCATTCCGGGGCCAGCACTATGGCTTAGTGGGGCTAAGCCTCCACCTGCGGCGCTGGCATCCCATTTGGGTGCTGGTTCATGTCCTGCCTGCTCTACTTCCGATCCAGCTCTCTGCTATGGCCTGGGAAAACAGTAGAAGATGGCCCAAGTTCTTAGGCCCCAGAAGAAGTTCTTGGCTCCTGGCTTCAAATCAGCCCAGTTCTGGCTGTTGCGGCTATTTGGGGAGTAAACCAGCAGATGGAAGACCTTTCTCTCTATCTCCCCCTCTGTAACTCTAGCTCTCAAATAAATAAATAAAATATTTTAAAAACAAACAAAGCATTCCATCCCAGTGAGGGACACAACATTCAAGGCACCATTCTGGAATCGCAATCACCAAACCTCTTAGTGCCTTGATATTAGACTGCCTAGCCTCCAGAACTGTAAACAATTATAGGTCTATTCGTCATAAATTACCTAGCCTGTGACATTCTGTTGTAGCATCACAAATTATCACTTTCTTTTATGTTCCATTGGTTTAAAAAAAAAAAAAAAAAAAAAAAAAAAAAAACCAATCCATGGGTCCACTAGATGGAAGGACTAGCCACAGAGCAGAAAAGAACAAGTACCCACAAGCACAACCCAAGCAGTTGTGTATTTATTCAAACAATAAACCCCACTACCTTCTTTGCATCTTCCATTGAGCCTTCCTAGAATTCCATTAAGTTATCCTTTAGGAATCCTGCCTTCCCCAATAATCCCATGACCCTGCCTTGATGCAAATTATTTTTCTTCCAGGTGTATGCAACCTATATTGTGCTTCTGTGATCCAAGTCATGCAAAGAGCCAGGTGACTATTTTCCATTATAGCTCACAATCCCAGCTGGTGTTCAACAGACCTATGTGATTTTTACCTGTTTGTGTACTTTCAGTTCCGTTGGTGCCACTTTTTTATTACTCTGTGGTTCATGGCACCCCTTTCAATTTACTCTCCTATGTAATGAGTATAAAATGTACACAAATATATAAACAGAGAAGTAATACATACATGGCCTCTGGAGGACAGAACTGTTGTTTGAGAGGGACACTGCTAACTGTTTTTAATGTTGAACCATGTGGGCAAAGACCTAACCAAAGAGTACTTTTGAAAATTCTGAAAGGAATGTTAAGGCTATCAAGCAGTTCCTTGACGAGGAAGAGAATGAGGAAGAGAAGTCATCTGCAACAAAGAGTAGGACCCCAGGGGAAAAGAGACACATCTGTGGTTTGGTACGGTATGGAATGTAACCTCCTTCCTCCCACCTCAACCAAGAGATTTTAGTAAAAGGCTACAAAGCCCATCAAAACGTTGGGAGTGAGAGCTCCGGATAAATTGGAACTTTCATGTACAGTTGCTAAGAAGGTAAAATGGAGCAGTGATTATGGAAAATAGTTCAGTGATTTCCTCAGAAAGGCAAGAATAGAATGATTACATGATCCATCAAGTCCATACCCAAAAGTATTCAAAGCAGGTCCAAAGAGATATTTGCACACATATGTTCGTGGCAACATTATCCACAGTAGCCAAAATGTAGAAGCAACACAAGTGTTCATCGACAGAGAAATGGATAAACAAAATGTCACCGATACATTGGTGGAATACGCTTCAACATTAGAAAGGAGGGAAATTCTGACACATGCTACAACAGGATGAATCTTAAGGTTGTTATACTAAGGGAAATAAGTTAGTCACAAAATGGCAAATACTGTATGAGGTAGTTAAAAGAATCAAATTCATACAGACAGAAAGTAGAATAGTGGTTGCAGGAGGCTGGGGCGGAGGTGGGGGGAGAATGGGGAGTTGGTGTTTAATGAGTACAGAGTTTCAGTTTTGCATGATGAAAGGAGTTCTGGAGGTGGATGGTGGTGATGGAAGCACAATAGTGTGAATATATTTAACACTATTGAGCTGTACGCTTAGACATGGTGACAATGACAAGGCTAATGTTGTGTTTTACAATTAATTTTCTTTTAGTGTATAGAAAAAAATCTGAATGAATCAACTGTGTGTGTGTGTGTGTGTGTGTGTGTAGTGGGTTGCTTGGGAGATCTGGGGGAGAGAAGATAGATGACAATCTACTAAGCTGACATTCAAGGCGAAGGCAAAATGGACTGGTAACATCTATACAACATCTCTAGGGCACATCTCTAAGATGGGTGCCAGTGATAAGCAAGGCTCAGGGGGCTTATTCAGCTCCAAAAGTATCTTGAACCTCTTCCAACTGTGCTGCCAACCTCTGGCATTCAGCATGGTATCACATGCTTCCCCATAGATACAAAGAGCTATCTAGGAGCCAGCATTGTGGCATAGCAGGTAAGGCCACGGCCTGCAATGCTGGCATTCCATATGGGCACCTGTTTAGGTCACCATGCCAAGGGCAGCAGGAAACTGTTGAAAATACTCAAACCAAAGTGTCCCATGATCCAGTCTGCATTTTGGAAGGAACACTGGTACTGCACACTGAATTGGAGGAGGGTGAGATTTGTTGTAGAGAGGTCTATGCATTATTTCCCTGTGTCTGCTGTAACAAATTATCACCAGCTTGGGAGCTTAAAATAATCAGTATGGGTTCTTTCACAGTTCTGGGGAACAGAAGTTCAAAATCAGCATTCCTGAACCAAACTCAAGGTGTTAGCAAGGCTATACTCCTTCCAGAAGCTCTAAGCATAGCTTGCTCATTGCTTGCTTCCAGCTTCTGGTGGCTGTCAGCATACATTGGCTTGTGGCTGTAAAATCCCAGTCTCTACCACTGTCTTCATGTCCCTTGCATGGTATGTCTAATCTTCCTCTGCCTTTTTTGCATAAGAATACTTGTGATGGTGTTTAGGACCCACCAGGATAATCCGGAATAATCTCCTCCTCTTTAAATCCTTTGCTAAAACCCTATGTATTGTTGGTGACAATGCAAGATGGCACAGCCACTATGGAAAAAAGTATGGCAGGTCCTCAAAAAATTAAGAAAGTTACCATATGGTCCAGCAATCCCACAAGTATACCCAAAAGAATTGAAAGCAGAGTCTCAAATGGATATTTGCATATTTGTGCTCATAGCAGCATTATTCACAATAACCAAAAGATGGAAACAGGAGCCAATGTTGTGGCACAGGGGGTTAACTTTTAACACAGCATCCTATATCAGAGTGCTGGTTCAAGTCCCAGCTGCTGCTCTACTCCAATTCAGCTTCCTGCTAATGCATCTGGGAAAGCAGCAGCAAGATAGCCCAAGTGCTTGGGCCCCTGCATCCATGGGGGAGATCCAGATGGAGTTCCAGGGTCCTGGTTTCCCTGGTTTCAGCCTGGCCCAGTCCTGGCCATTGCAGTCATTTGGGGAGTAAACCAGCAGACGGAAGATCTCTTTCAATCTCTCTTCCTCATTGTATCTCTCAATAAATAAACTAAATCTTTACTAAAAAGATATAAAAATCTCACATTGATAGATAAATGTATAAATGTGGTCTCATACATCAATGAGATCATCATACATCATCATACATCAATGTGGTCTCATATATTCAACCTTTAAAAAGAAGGAAGTTCTGGGAACAGTACTGTGTGGCTCAGCAGATAAAGCCACTAGCTACAGAGCCAGCATCCCATATGGGTACTGGTTCAAGTCTCAGCTGTTCCATTTCCAATCTAGCTCCCTGCTAATGCACCTGGTAAAACAGTGGAAGATGGACCAAGTACGTGGACCCCTGTACCCATGTGGGAGACCCAGATGAAGCTCCTGGCTCCTGGCTTCAGCCTGGCTCAGCTCTGGCCATTGTGAACATCTGGAGAATGAACCAGGGGATGGGAGATTTCTCTCTCTCTGTCTCTCTCTCTAACTCTGACTTTCAAATAAATAAATAAACCTTTCAAAAAGAAGGAGGAGGAGGAAGCTCTGACACATGCTACAACACAGATGAACCTTGAGGACACTGTGCAAGGTGAAGTCAGCTAATCACAAAAGGACAAATACATATGATTCCATTTGTATGAGGTACTTAGAGTAGTCAAATCCAGAGAGAAGAAAGCAGAATAGCAGTTGCCAAACTGGGAGAAGCTGAAATGGGAGTTAATCTTTACTAGGTACAGAGTTTCATTTTCACAAGATGAACAGTTCTTGGTGTGGATGGTGATGATGGTTGTGCAAGCTATCAATGTACTTAATGTCCCAGAATGGTACATTTAAAAATGGTTAAGCTGATGTTTGATTATGGGTATTATACCACAATTTCCAAAAATTTTATTCCTTAACTTAATCACATATGCAAAAATATTCCCATATAAGGTAACATCCACAGTTTCCTTTATATGTGTGTGGCCAGCATTCAGGCTACAACAACCAGTGAGGAGACTGCTGCGGTCTTCCAGAGAAGAAAGAATGGTGTTTTGCTCTAGACTGCAGGCAGTGAGGATTCCTGAGCTGCTAGGAAGCACAGAGAGCAGGCCCTGGGATAGGGGGAGAGAGGTGTAGTGTTTGGCATCCTGGTGTAGGGCAGGGCAACTCACAGAACTTGGGAATGCTGAGAGGAAAAACAGAGTGGGGCGAGGTGGCTAAGGGGAGGGTATGGAGGTGAATTTTAGATGCATTTAGAGATATTAACCCAAAACAGGGCCACCAGGTAGAGACCCCTCTAAATCTTGAGACCCCACACAAATGGATGGGGGGAGTCTGGGAGGGTCATGTTCTATATCAGCTAGCATTGGTGGTCCCTCAAAGAGGAGTGGCTGGAGAGGCCTAGACTAAGTGGGAGACCAAACTGTCACTTTCTCACCCTCTGTGGATCTGTCTGTTGCTCTATGAAAGTGAAGGACACAAACTGAACAGATCCAGACCCACACAGGGAGCCCTGACTGTGCCCAGCGCCACTGCCCTTAGTGCTTCAGCGACATTATTGCGCCCAGAAAGCTGTCAGAGCACACCCTTGCCTTTCCCGTGTTATGGATGGGAGAAACCAAGGTACTAGGAGGCTAAGTCACCTTCCCAAGGTCACACAGCCATAATGATGCAGGCTGGATTTCATCGCAAGCACTCTGGCTCCAGATGCTGCTCCCTTAGCTAACACTGAACAGTGCCTCTCTTTTCTCCACAAAACCCTTCCCCAAACCAACTCCAAAGCCAACAGCAAAGACCCCAATAATTAATACAACTGAGAAAAGTTTATTCCTGATAATGGGCCACATGTCAGGTAACAGGCCAGGCACTGCCACTAGAATCCTAAGACACAAAGCCCCAGGCATTGAGATGCTCCCTTAATTGGTGGTCGGATGCCGCTGACTAATGAGAAGAGGTAAGTGAGGAACAGAAATGACAGATAAAGTACACTTCTGGAGCTACCGGGTTTCCATTTCAACAATCAATTCCCTTCCATAGGGAGGGCAGAAAACCTGGCAGGAAAGCAGCTGTGTGGCCCAGTGCTGGGAGGGCACTCAGTTTTGAAGCAGATGGAAGGGTCTGGAAGCACATGGCAGCAGCTAGAAGTGGGGAACCACGATGGAGGAGGGATGCTGGGGAAGAATGAGTGTGAGACTCAGACCAGAGCAGGTACCAAGAAGCCAGGGTCAGGGCTCAGGGAGTCTGGGAAATGGAGACTGCAAGGAATAGGGGCAGGTAGTGAGAACCATGACTCCAACTGAATGCCGGGGGTCCAGGAAGGCTCGGGCAGCTCTGCCAGGCCAGGCCACAGATGCTGAGTGACGACAGCCTTCCACGAGGGCGAGGCCATCTGTGATGAAATGACCACCCACCACCACGCCAAGCCTCCCTCCCTGGCCTCACTCCTTTCCCACTGTAGGACCTGGGCTCGGGGAGCCCTGACAAAGAAGGCCCATCAGAACAGCAGTGATAGGGAAGGTGACTCAGATGCCTC